TGTCAAGCACGATCAGACTGTTAAGTCTATTCCTGCCCTTGAGTACTCTGGCAGGGAGAGTTCAGCGATAAGTCCCGTTGGTGGGCATCTGAAACTGTTTGTAACGTCATGGATCTCAAGTACATGTATATGATCAATGACGTTAGGAAGGCTCAGTACGAGATCGAGCACAAAGTTGATGTTATGATGGCCACTGAAAGCCCCGACCAAGTAGAGACCGAGATGGACGGCTTTGGTGACTATGTTACTGAGAAGTGGCTCAATTTGCATTATACTCTCCTCGGCAAATATCAGAATGGTTATTCTGATTGGGGTTATACTCAAGTTGGCTATGGCCCATCTACTGAGTGGCTCGATGCTGCTGGCTTCCAGGACTTCCAAGCCACTCCGGAGCAGTTTACTGAACTGAGACGTCGTTACAAGAAGACTCAGAAGGAGGCCGATGAAATCCGTGACTCGGCATTGAATGCATGAGTGATGTACCTCTGATCTCAATTGATTGCTATTTTGCATTTTCTCTACTGCCTAATTTTAAGTGCCTTTCCTCGGAGGCTGATCGTTCGAACGATCATCTGCTCCAGTGCGCTGATGAGGCGCTCAAATTCTGTCATTGCTATGATGCCATTGTTTCGGCTACCCCTTCGCTAAGTATTAGAGATGTTTCTCCCAAGTGATTAAGAAGGATGAGTTTGGATCAAGGCCGATCGATATTCTCTGCGTTGTAGTCGCTGACTCATAGTCAGCATCAACGTATTATGCACCATCAGCCTCTGTTATGGTTGACAGTAGCGATGAGAGAAAGACTGTCACAGGGCTAGACTCTCTCTCTCTCTCTCGCTCGAAGCCGATTTCGGCTAGGCGGCCAGAAAATGCCTATCACACATCAGCTGCTTTTGAGGTCTCCGATAGTCGGCGAGGGTGACCAGCCCATCTCCGCGGTTTTTTTGTTTTTTTGCGTCATCTCATCTTATCAGCTCTCGTTTCGCAGTCCACCTTTCGCATCTATCCTATCTACTGGAGCATTGGAATGTGCTGCGCCGTCGAACTCTACCAAGTTGGACGATCCGATTCTCCCACTTTCTTCGTTCCTTAGAATCGGATTTTGTACCTCGTGAATTAAGCCAAAGTAAACCCACAAACGTGTTGATCGATGTAATGGGCATTGATTTCTCGCATTCACAGGTTTCTAAACTCTGTGTTATTCAGGACTTCATCTATTAATGTTCTTTCAGGAAGGTTAGATATGCGAAGGTCTAATACCGCGTCCAAAATATTTTTCTCTTTGGTCGATGCAACTCACAAACCTCGTTCGACCCTTCGCGAATTATCAGCTTCGAGAAGAACTTATATAAACGCGTCGCGTTCAACACGATGCATGGTGAGATGGTGCTAGTTGCGTTCAAACTCGACTGGTCGGTAGATTAGTAGTTTTACGATCAATTCCATAGAATCGTTGATCCGTCGAGAAACAAAAACCT